CTACTCTTCTCTTTCATTTTCTTAATTCATTAGCTCCTCAAAGTACTCCTTCCATCTTTCCATCACATTCTCCTCACTTGTTAGAACATTACCATCCCTATCTTTAACAAGCCTAACCTGCTGCACATCCTTTCCAGCCTGATCCCTCTGTCTCACCAATCGTTACAAGTCCTTCACACCCTCTTTAGTGTCCAGTCTCCCATACAACTCATCATTCATCTTCTGCTTTGTCTTAGCTACCTCCCTCTTTGCTCTACGTCCCATCTCCTTATCTTCCTGTCTCCTCTCTTCAGTCCTCTCTCTGTCATATTTCTTCTTGGCTAACCTCTTCCTTTGAACATCTTCCTGCACTTCACTATTCCACCACCAGGTTTCCTTATTAGCCATTCTCTGTCCAGATGACACACCAAGTACCTTCCTACCTGTCTCTCTAATTATTGAAAATAAGCTTTGCTCTACTCGAAGAGAATTTAACAACTTTAAACACTTTACACGATACGCACTTACTATAAACTGTTTTTTAAATCTGTTCTTTAAACTGTTTGCTAGTATTGTATGCTGGTCGTTTGTTGCTTTTACGCTTTATTTTAGGTGTTTTTTTAGTTTCATGATCTGGCAGTGTTGTGCTAACTCTGTGCTAAGTGGATTCAACTCACACAAAGATGAGATAAAGATCACCGATCAGGTGAGTCGCCCTCATTTTAAACAGTGTTTCTCGGTTTCTTAACTTTGTTTTAGTTCTTTCTTGCTGGTTCTTGCTTTGAGTTTTATTCTTTGAGGTGTTTAAGAGTTACATGAACCATTGCTGTGAGATTGTGCAGTGGTGTGCTAAGCTGTTTTCATTCATTCAACCTTTATTTCTACAGGTTAATCCCATTGAGCCCCGAGGACTCATTTACAAGAGAGACCTGATTTCTTTAACAAAGAGTGATGACAACAGCGACAACAATAAACAGTCATAAAAGAGGCATACCGTTTTTTTTTGTTGTTGATATTTTTTTTTACATATTTAAATCAGATTGTAAAAAAAGTAGCCAAAACAGCTAGATTCTAAGGTAAATGTAGAAAACTAAAAACAGGAACATGTTTGCATTGGTTCTTGCCAGGAGTCAACAGATGCTTAAAGCCACTTAGCTTAGCTACGGGTAATAAGATTGTTCCGGATCAACTTGGACTAAACTCACATACAACTGAGATCAGGCAAGTTGCCCAAGTTTTAAACTGTATTTTATTTTTTTCTGCCCCTTGTTGATTTGTGCTGTATTCTGTTAGTTTTGAGAGCGGAGGAAGCCAGTCTCGTGGTGCTACATCGTGGTTTGCACCACTATCTTTTATGTCTAAATTAAAATAAACTTGTTCTATATTTTACAAATTATTTTGCTCTAAAAATATTTTAGTTCATCTGTATAACAGCTTATCTTTAGAGTTGATTTGTTTAGGCTATTCATTTTGAATGTTAATATCCATTTGTTGACTTGTTAATGAAAAGAAATCTTACATGTTCCTTTCGTTACATTTTTAAAACTATCATGTCAAACTGATTTGTTCAAAAAGCGTTCAATACAAAAACAACTGGACTTTATTTGTAACAGAAATGTCTTCTGTTACAAATAAAGTCCAGTTGTTTTTGTATTGAACGCTTTTTGAATTCATCATGTCCTGGATGACTGAGAATCTTCCTCAAACTGATTTTCTTACAAAAGAAGTAAAAGCTTCTCTTTTTTTCGGGTTCGTCACTCTATTTACAGTTAATCCATTGGGTCCAGGTAGGGCTCGGAAACCCCCCCACCCCCAAAAAAAAACCTATGGGCTCGGTCCGGATTTATTAGGCCTGAATGCAACTCTACTTACTACTTGTACTTCCTACTTTGTGGTTTTTCACTTATCGCAGGGCTTCAGGGCACGGATCCACCGTGATAGACGAGGTATGCATGAATGTTTCTGTTCAGTGCCCTGACACGACTTCTGTTGTGACTTGGTGCTGTATAAATAAACTGACTTGAATTGTATTGAAATGAATAGTAGTCCAGTCATCTGGAAGCTCTTTCTTACCACCCAGAACCTTTAACAGCTCCTCTCTGAGTTTATCACAACATTCTTCCTTCTTCATCTTCCACCATTTGGTCTTCTTCTCTGATTTGACTCTTTTTCTCTTCTTCACAACAACAGTCATTCTACACACAACCATCCGATGCTGTCTGGCCACGCTCTCCCCTGCCACAACCTTACAGTCTCCCTCAGGTTTCCTCTTCTACACAGAATGTAGTCGACCTGCGTACTCCTTCCTCCACTCTTATAGGTCACTCTATGCTCCTTCCTCTTTTGGAAATAAGTGTTGACTACAGCCATTTCCATTCTCTTGGTGAAATCCACCACCATCTGTCCTTCCTGGTTTCTTTCCTTGACACCAAACCTACCCATCACTTCCTCATCCTCTGTTTCCTTCACCAACATGTCCATTCAGGTCTGCTCCAATCACCACTCTCTCCTCCCTGGGAATACTCTCCATCACTTCATCCAGATCTTTACAAAATGTATCTTTCTCCTCATCATCACATCCAACCTGTGGAGCATAACCACTGACAACATTTAGCATCATACCTTCAACTTCTACCTTGAGACACATCACCCTATCTGACACTCTTTTCACCTCTACTACATTCTTTGCCAACTCCTCCTTCAGGACCGCCCCTACTCCATTTCTCTTTCTATCCACACCATGGTGAAACAGTTTGAACCCTGCTCCAATGCTGTGAGCCTTGCTGCCCTTCCACTTGGTCTCTTGGACACATAAAACATCTACCTTCCTTCTCAGCATCATGTCAGCCAGCTTTCTACCTTTGCCTGTCATTGTCCCCACATTTAAGTTGCAACCCTCAGTCCCATATTCTTGACTTTCCTCTTCTCCTCCGTCTCCTGACATTTTTCCCTCCTTGTGGTCTTCCACTAACAGTAGCACAATTTCCGCCGGCACCCTGTTTGTCAACAGCACCGGTGGTGGTCGTTGTTAACCCTTCCTGACACAACCCTCACCATTTACCCGGGCTTGGGACCAGCACAGGAGATACGCTGGCTTGTGTGCCCTAGTGGCTGGTTTGAGTACTAACTTAAAGGTCAAAGTAATGTCAGAAGAAGGCACGTGTAGTCGATCTAGGATTAGCAAACTGGTTGATCCACTACGAGAAGGTGCTATTTATAAGACTGAGTTTGTTGCAGCTGCTCAGACTGAAGAAGTCTTTTGGATTAAAGACAAAAAACGTTTCAACAAGATTTTTTTTTTTTTTACGCTTTGCATCTGTCCAGAGGACCTGACTTAATTTTGTTAGGTTTTTCTACCTGGATTATTGAGCATGCATCAGGCTATAACCTTAACATTTAAGAAGTAAACATTTTTAATAATCACATTAAAACTTACAAATGTTGTCTTTGGTACCTGTTTGTTTTCCAAATTTATTAGTTTGTGTGAATGACAGGAATCAACTTAAAACATTTTGTAGAACGGTGCTTTATGAAGTTCACTCCATTTCCTTGTATTAGTATTAGTATGTATTTGTATTGTATTGTATTGTACGCTCTCAGGACATCATTACCTGCAGTGTTCCCTCAGTGAGGACTGAACTAGACTAAAGGACCTTCTCCTACTCCGCTCCTGTTTCCTGGAAGATCTTGTAAAAAGACCTGAAGCTCTCGACCTTTGACCTCTCTAAGTGGCTTTAAAAATCTGTTGGACTCCTGGCAGGGACCGATGCAGACATGTTCCTGTTTTTAGTTTTCTACATTTGCCTTACAGTCTAGCTGTTTTTGTTACTCTTTTTGCCATCTTATTTGTAAAAAAAATAATAATAATCCGTATGTCTTTTTTTATAACTGTCTATTGTTGTCACTGTTGTCAATTGTTGTCATCATTCTTTGTTGAAATCAGGTCTCTCTTGTAAACGAGTCCTCGAGGCTCAATGGGATTTACCTGTAGAAATAAAGTTGAACGAATTAGCTGACTGGCGCATCTGCCACATGCAATATGGCGGACGCTCTGACGTACCTCTGCAGCGGGCTAGCCTCCTCAACAATGCAACAAAGCTAGCTTGCTTTTCACTAACCACCGCGGAATATGAACGTGTTGCCAGATGTACAACAATATCGTATTTATACGAAATTTGGTCATTTTTAAAAACTCAAATATAGTAGTGTTGGAGTGTGCACACCAATACACTTTTGTTTTCGTGCATGTGAACATCCACAACCTCAGCAGTTATTGCATCATGGAATGATGCAGCCTCTTGCACACACACACACACACACACACACACACACACACACACACACACACACACACACACACACACAT